GGTGGCTTGTCGCTTCTCTGCAACTGAAACACGTCATGGCGATCCAACAAGGCCCCATGTTCTTGCAAGATGGTCACTATTGATTTCACAAGATTTCCGTCGACGTATGACAGATAGCAGGCCGCTGGACAAATCTACATTCTGTTGGAGGTAAACTGAGCCGCGGATCGACAAGCATTTGATTTCCCACGTTTCTTGATTATATACCGTAAAGCGTCGCGATATACCGCAAAGCTCTTTGAATGTCGTAAACATCTTTTTCTCGTTATTTCACGATTGGGATTTTGTAGTTGTCATTTTGTAGTCCACGAGCCCTCGTTCTCGAGAACTCGGTCAAACATGAATAAAAAAAAGATTATCCAATGATTGGAAAAAATAACACATTTATTGCCGCAGGCAAGTAAGCAAAGAAAGACGTAAACCCAATTTCGATCTATTTTTTTCTTACGCGGCAATTATTCTGAAGTTGTTAGCTCAAGGAAGAGTGGGTGGAAATGAATGAAACTATAAATCAGTACAAAAATACCAACAGCCTGGCGATGAGAACACAACATTTAATAAACGGTGCGCTTTAATCTAACTGCAAGGCGGTTACCCTTTTCATCCTATCAACCCAGTATCGTCAGCGGGTGATTCTGTGGCGTGTAGTGTAAACACATCCCTCTATTTCACCATTCTACTCATTTCCGGGTATAATCCTTCCATTACAAGACGTCTTCTACAACCGTGCCTTAAACCCTTTGAACCAATTCTAGAACCAGGAACCACTTAATATTGGCCGGTCACGTGACATTTACTGGCCGGTTTAAAGCGATATATATTCGTTGTTAACCGTGCATATAGTTTCGGTAATAGGCTAAAGAAGGTTCGGTCTGATATCTTCTTGATTCGGAAAATTACATGGCTTCCTTTTTGCCTTTGAAGAAGTAGCGTTGTTTGTCATGTTTCACTAAGCCAGGTCATTGTATTTGATGAGCATTATGTTCGCTGGATTTAAAATAGTTACACACGCATCTGTCGTTTCCAAATCGCTGTGTATTGCACATAATTGAACTAATGGCTGCCATTTAGTCTGTAGGGGTAGTAATAATGTTTAGTAAATACCGTAAATACTCGTAACCGCGCAAGGATCTGACGTGTCCTTGTTTAAAAACCCTCGGAGTTTTAGCGGGTACTTCCATCTTGCCAATGTTTTGTTTGTTTTGTTTGTTCGTTGTATAACGCCGCATTCAGCAATATTCCAGCTATATGACGGCGGTCTGCAAATAATCGAGTCTGGACAAGACAATCCAGTGATTAACATCGTGAGCATCGATCCACGCAAATGGGATTTAAATTTTCAATTGGTCATGCAGGAACAGGCCAAATTACTTACCAAGCGAGACTGACCACCCGATCCCGTTAGTCGCCTTTTGCGGCAAGCATGGGTTGCTGGGACCCATGACCTATTCCTCCCCGGATCACGCCAATGTGTTCCTAGAAACTCACCCTGAAAGAGGTGTACAGATGGATAATTATACCAATGTCCTTAGACTGGTAATTACTCACTCGCGAAGGTGAACGGCGGATTGTCGTCGTGTTCAAGGTTATTGCACTTACATTGCGTCGTGCATGTGTGTGTGGATGTTAGTCTGGGTTTAGTGCTGTTGTTATAGTGCTAGCGCACTGATATACCATTCCACAGTTTAACATGGGTACACCACACAGACACAGTAAACCAGCCTACCAGTCCTTTCTTAATTTCCTTTATACCGAGCGGCAGGCTGGGTAACAACAAGTACCCGACTTGGATCGAACCACTGACCCGCTTTGCGCTCAGAGCTCCCGTGAACAAGGCCCAGTTGACTGTATCTGTCACACACATACGACCAACCTGAGACGGGTCCCCACCACTCGGATCCCCTCGGGTTATTCCGCCACCCAGAGTAGTGATACTGCATGACGTTCCCGGTATTCGTGTATCTCGATCCCGCTGCATACAGCCCGTATGACATTTCAGTCGTTTAGAAGAGATTGTCACGTGCACGAAACTCGAGCCAACATGGATTCCCGCCAGTGCAGGCGCACGTGCTAATTGAATGAGACAAGACCCGACTTCTGTGGCCAAATATACTACTCAAAAGAAGTTAAAGAACACCTGGTTTTTTCCTATCTGTCATTGTGTTCTTCACTAATTTTGAGTGGTATACTGACTCATGTAGTGTAGGACATGGAAAGACACTGGCTGTTAGGACAAACAATCGAACGCACACAAACCTCTCCTACCGTACTTCCTCTAATTAATGCGACCGGATAATGGGGAGAATTAATTTATCTTTACTAGAGCCGACGTATATCAAAGATCGGTCTTCCGTTCATCCAATTTAATATTTTCGTCTATTTGGGGTGATACGGTAACGATCAATAACAGGCAAATGTTCCTACAAGTTACAAGCAAATAGTTTCAACTTCGCGGAAACACTGTGACACGGAGCATCTCAACTGATTCCTCATTGAATCACAAGTTCTGTGAAATAAGAAGCAATGTCCTGAATTCTACCTGCACGTCTGATCCTTGAGACCCGTTCAGTTTCCCGCCCTGCATCAAACCCATCAAAGGATGTTTCTGAAACCAGCCCTTCTCCCGCAGAATACTCCAAGGTGACCATACACCAAGTTCAGTTATTGTAATTCCTAAGCATTATCTTCATCACTTTAATTATTTGTTTGCTGCAAAGACATCAAAGCTATTTCTGTGTCCTGAAATTAATCAACTTCAATTTACCCCGAGGCTGCATACATGATGCTTGCTTGAATACAAATTTCCCCGATGTCTCTTTTGTGGCGTGGGCTTAAAGGCACATTCCGATTTAAACCCTTAAAACTACAGCCTGGTCACATATCTGGATGAAGAAATAGGTCCATGTTAACACCTTCAAGTATCAATGTCAAGATTTACCTGCCTCCCATCCCGTTAGTCGCCTCGTAGTAGCATGGGTAGCAAGACCTTTTCTAACCCACATCTTGTACCTAATCGTCCTCCAAGATAATGAATAAAACGTAGGCGTAATATAAATATTTAATGCCACTGTGTATTGTCTGTCGTTGGAGTCATTCTTATATAGACGTCTGCTTAATGTATGGTTTGATAAACGGTATCGTCATCTCTGCCATTTAGAACCACAGGCACATGCTCTGGAATATTTAATTTTTCTCGGAATCTTGAATCGACTCAGGCGCACCAGAGACTACTCGTGTGTGTTTCACAAATAATATCACGAAAAGAAACATTGACATTTTCTTCGACTAAACGATCACGCTAAGTGACATCCGGAAGAGTTTTTCCCGTGTTGATATGGTCCATGTTAAAACCAGCTTTTGTAGCTGCCAGCCGCCACGGAGACCACGCCCACTACTGCCAGCCGCCCGGAGACCACGCCCACTACACTCCTAAAGTACGCTTGTGACATTTATAAACTTGGAGATCGTGCTTTTGGAATCATCAGTGATACCATTTGGAGATCATATCACAGCGAGCTCCCGCTGACATTATTAACAGACACACACAGTAAACCAAGCCAAACTCTGTAAAGGTTAGCAATGGCTATTCATTGGGGATGAGTTATTATATTTGGTGAACACGCCAAGGGGTTGAATACCCTGATGCACGCATAAACACGTCTATTATCAATGTTGGGTGTTGAAAAGACAACCTTTGTTCAAAATGCAGACATATTGTATAAAAACGCCGATCGTCTAAATTGCCCTGGGTAGGTGACCAAGCCGGCCGGGCGTGCTCTTCACGGGTGTTTCTGACGCCACACGTGATGGTTTTCATTGCAGCAGTGATGACATTTTCCGCTTTATATACAACCCTGTGTGATAATGTTACCAAAGGTATACGTTACCATGGCAATGTGAATAGCGTCAATATCCCAGTCCTTGTGACCTTCAGTATGTGTTCAATTAGAATGGATGCCATTGATACTAGTTTCTCTACATTGTTTCCAAATTAGAGACGTAATATATATATTTCATGCTATATATATATATAGAGAGAGAGAGAGAGATATATATAGATATAGATAGATAAATAGATAGATAGATAGATATATATATAGATAGATAGATAGATAGATAGATAGTGGCCCCTTTCGATGTATTGGCGCGATAATGTCAATGGGTTGTATCTCAAAACTCCCTGATTACAAATGTATCGGCAAGGGTTGAAATGGAAATGTCTGAGGGTTGGTTGGACGAAGCAGCAAGGCAAGATCCATTTGTTGAAATGCTTACCCTTTTCGCGAACACCTGGTGCCATCGCTAATTTCCAGCGATGCATTCATATAATTTCCACAACTATTTCCCTTCACGCCAAGTGGAATCTGTTTCGGCAAAACCCAAGTGTGTACATCTATTCAGATTCAATATACAAATGAAGCTCCACGACGAATTGTCAAATTAACAAAATGTCATTGTACTATTGGCCTCATGGCCACGTATACGAAATAGATCTGTCTGCGTGTTCATTATCTTGAACTACGTTAGTTTCACGATTCTCTAGCGTTGACGTTTTATACACGTTATACCGTCTATGACTAATGGACGTATTTACGTAATCGCCCTTACTACGTCCAGGTTTGTCAGCACCAAACCAAGGCTTGTGGGTTTCACCAAGTGATAATCGTTAGAGACATGCATCACTTCAGGCTATCCTCAACCATAAAGCTGAAACGCCGTGATATAACTAAAATACAGTTCAAATCAACGTCAAACCTAATTCACTCACTCACTCACTCATTACGTAACGCCAACTTCTGTGTTTCGGGGGCGGTGGGGTAGCCTAGTTGTTAAAGAATTCCCTCGTCACGCCGAAGACACGGGTTCGATTCCACATATGGGTAGAATGTTTGAAGCCCATTTATAATATTCTCCGCTATGATATTATTGGAATATTGCTAAAAGCGGCGTAAAAACATTCCCACTCACTCACTCACTCACTCACTCACTCTCTGTTTCAGCTACGCCGGGCTGCACTGCGAGGTCATCCAGGGCTACTCCAAGGGCGCGGGGTACCGGCCAGGGATGAAGATCGAAGGAGACCGCTTCCGCAACACGTGGACGGCCGTCTGCATCAACGGCTCGTGGTGTTTCATCAACTGTAACTGGGGAGCCCGCCACGTGAAGGGCGCCGGTCAAGGTCAGACGAAAGGTCAAGGTCCTCTGAAACCTCAAGTCAGGATCCGAGACAAGAGGGACGACTTGAGTCTGTTCTCCTACAAATGTGATGAGTTTTATTTTGTAACGGACCCCGAGGATCACATATACCAGCATTTCCCCGACGATCCAGAATGGCAGCTATTAGAGTGTCCCATTACTTTGTCCGAATTCATCAATCTTCCTGTTGTCAAATCCCCATTCTTCAACTACGGACTGAAGTTTACCATGCACTACGACTGCAAGCAACAGACAGAACATGGCGTGGCACTGATTCAGTTAAAGATTCCGAGTTTGGTTGGGTTCGGATACACCCTGGATCCAAAGGACAGACGGATCGACCCTTCTGCGCTGGAGGGTCGTGTTATGTTACGGATCATAGGTCACAAGGCCATATTCACAGTGGCACCCCCGAAAAGTGGACGTTATTACTTCACAATATACGCCAAAGACGACTGGGTGTCGGACTCATTACAAAGCGCATGCGCATTCCAGATCAAATGTCGGGAACGGAAGGAGAGCATCAGAAGCCCCTACCCTAAGGTTTCTTTTTTTGGCCCCACCCCCAGCATGAGTAGCTATGGCCTGTCCCCCCAGACTCACATAGACCCTGTGGTCACGTGTTCCCACGAGGACCTGGCATTTCAGTTCCATCTTCATCAAGACGTGCGTCTGTCCCACTCCCTTCATTACCATGGCAACGAGGCTGACAAAAGCAACGAAGACCTACAACGATATGTTTTCATCAAACAGCGTGATGATGACTCTATCTCGTACCTTGTGCGGTGCCCAATGATTGGGAAATACGTTTTTGCCGTTTTTGGTGCCAAAATGGGTTCCCCGGACTCTGAGAATAACGTTCCTTATGAGTGTTTATTCCGATACCTCATAGAGTGTAGGCAGGGGGCTAAGGACAAGAGGCCGTTCCCCCGGGCGTGTCACAGGTGGCATAGCTGTACATTACTCGAGCCCTTTGTTGGTGACCTTGAAATCGAGAAACGTGTGACCTTCAGAGTGCGTGCGCCATTGGCGTCGGATGTGGCGCTTCTTACAGGCGATGCCTGGTTCCATTTCAAGCTGTTGGCGGACGCTATATGGGAAGGTACTGTGGTAACGGGCAAACATCGATGCATCGCCAAGTTGTATGCAAAACTGAACAGAGAAAAGGCACGATTCTCTCCATTGGTGGAATTCCAGATAAAGTAAATCCAGAACGTAGAACGCACGTAGTTGTCTCCCTTTCCCTGGAGGAAAGGAACCATTTTGATTATGTCACATATATACTCACCACCAAAAGAAACGTGAACCATTGAAACATTTAGATAAGTACGTACGTTAAGAGTGAGTGAGTGAGTTTGGTTTTACGCCGCTTTTAGCAATATTCCAGCAATATCACGGCGGGGGACACCAGAAATGACGTACGTTAAGAAGAGATGTTTCCAATGTGTACCACTTAATGACAAAACTGACAATCAGTAAAGTACCACAGTGTCTTTATTCTTATCACGATATGCTGCACGTGATTTCCGAACTTTACACACTAATCCTGCACGAGACAAATTGTGCATTTCGAGTCATAGATCTATGACGTCACTTGTGATGCGTTCATGAGCGTCGGTGCACACAACAAACCAGTATGTTCGTTTGTGCATCAAATAAATCTAATATCTCTTGAATTTGAGTAATTCCCCATATATTAATCAACATATATGGTATTCGCGTTTCTGTTGTCGGTGGGTATATTTGTCCGGGGGAAACAAGTCTGAGAAAGGTGTTTGTATAAATGGCAAATGTAAGAAAAAGTTCAAAGTATTTAGATTTTTCTCTCTGCTAGAACAAGTTGGTGGGATAACAGCATTTACATCATTGTGAATTGTTCGGTGTTCTATATTAAAGTCAAAGGTCAAGATGTTGGTTAGTGGGGTGGTATTGTTTGTCATGTGACCACAGTTGAGATGTTTATACTCTGACTGTAGTGGGTGTATGTATGTAAATAATGCACTTAGATTTGCAGGAATACTCATGTCTATAGCAGTTCTAATGCTCAGCCTTTCCTAAGCTTCATGGCCGAAAAAAACTAAAATGTGTATTCCTGTGACACACAACGTTTACCGAAAACATGATATCCAGGATGTTGCCCTTGATCTTATAAATTCCAAATCCATATTGGACGCCATAAAACTCGTAACCGTTACAAATCATTTCATACTTATCTAACCATGAAAATCATGATGCGAATACAAACCATTCTTTAAACCTAGGGTAATTGTCGGGGGAATCTGAGTTTCTTTCACATAATGTGTGGATCCTCTCACTACTAAGGGAGGCAACTCTTCATGGCGACTTGCGACGCCATGGACCTCAAAGGCCATCCGTGCCTGGCTGAAAGTATCCTTAGCAAACGTTGAGCGTCATATATGAAGTAACGACGCATGATGCTGTATTCTTAGATGTAGATACGGTATGTAGAGAGAGGCCCACAAGAGATAGTTGTTCCATTCTTCCAAATAACATGTCTTTCAAGAGACAGGCCCATGTTACCTAGTTTGTATAATATATATTCCTATCGTTGGTGACATATTTAGTCTTTGAGACAATCATAGAATGTAATTCCAGCGTTGAATACTTAATGCATTTTAACTCTTCATCTAGTAATGTATCAATGTAAAGTATGTAGGTTCCGATGTGATCCGTTCACAGAGAGAACATTGGGAATCTGTGATGACGTGCTGGAACCCTTTCCACAACAGACTGGTTGAATCTATATCAGCTTGTTCAGAGACAATTATTTTAATTAGAAACGTATTTAAAATGTTCGTTATAGTTTGCATGATAGAAAAATATTCGAATGAAATTAATAACATGTTTGATTACTTAAATAATTTATAAACAACTATATGTGGATAGTATATCTGTTTCAATTCGTAACAAATCGTGTCTTCCGAGAAATTTCGGATGTGGTTTACCGAAAGGAGAGGGTGGTGACGAATGTACCGTTCGTGTGCAATCGTCCACGGTCGGTCCTTCCCGTAACCTGCTTAATGACAATTCGGCTTGTCCCGGACTGACACGAGTAACTTCGAATTGTTCCGTATTGTGTTCAGACGTCAAGTCAAAAGCCGAATGTCTAGTTTGGGCTCGTGGTTTGACAATTCTGGGCTTAGAAAGAGCTCCCATATTACGTTATAATACACACATTCCAGTGTCAACACTGTACACTACTGTATAGATGCGGGGTATGCCAATTGTTGATATGCTTCCACAGCGAGGTCACGTGTTCTAGCAGAAAGGATGCGATGTATTGTTTGTTTGTATGTTGTTAACGCCGCACTCAGCAATATTCCAGCTATATGACGGCGGTCTGTAAATAATCGAGTCTGGACCAGACAATTCAGTGATTGACATCATGAGCATCGTTCTACACAACCAGGTTTCGATGACATGCATCTACCAAGTCAGAGAGCCTGACCTCCAGATCCGGTTGGTCGACTCTTTGCACTAGCATAGTCGCTTTTAAAACAAGGGTTGCTGAAGAGTGAGTGAGTATGGTTTTACGCCGCTTTTAGCAATATTCCAGCAATATCGCGGCGGGGGACACCAGAAATGGGCTTCACACATTGTACCTATGTCGGGAATCGAACCCGGGTCTTCGGCGTGACGAGCAAACGCTTTAACCACTAGGCTACCCGACCGCCCCGGTTGCTGAAGACCTATTCTACCCCGGATCTCCACGGGTATGCGATGTATTGACAGTTTATGCATGTAATAGATGTAAATAGCACAACATACATATGATGTTGTTTTAAACAAAGAAAGAATGTAAATACGAAGCTATTAAAAGCGAAATAAAAATTGTTACAACACCGATGTGTTTGTAAGAAATGTCTGCTGTGAACATTGAAGTGAGTATTGTTTTACGGCGCTCCCACCACCCTTCAATATAAATACAGACTGTCATTGCACGAGAATAACAAGTCCAGATCATCCAACGATCAGATCAAAATTTGGTGCAAAGGGCAAAATAGCCGTGAGTGAGTGAGTGAGTATGGTTTTACGCCCCTTTTAGCAATATCACGGCGGGGGACACTAGCAATGGGGTCCACACGTTGTACCCATGTTGGGAATTGAACCCGGGCCTTCGGCGTGACGAGCGAACGCTTTAACCACTAGGCTACCCGACCGCCCCCAAAATAGCTATGTGAGTTATATGACTGGACCAATGACAATCAGTGATGACACCAGGTGTTCGCGTAGTGGTGTTCCAGGTGTTGAAGTAATACCAGGTTTGGGATCGCCTGGACTTATCTCCACATTGTACGCATGGAGGGAAACAAACCCGCGTCGTCGACATGACGAGCACACTACCTACTCGACCATTCAGGGTAAAGTATCTCCATTCAATTATGACCGATTCCACTGACCCATTCGCCGTCACATTCCGGAAGTGACGTCACCATTTCAGACTTTCTGTCCTAGCACAATAGAGAGCAACTGAGCAAATGAATTCTCTCGTTCATTGGTATATTTGATTGGACGGCTTTGACGTCATCTCATATGAATCGGGCTTGAAGCAATTGCAGGCAATGGAACACGGGTATTTAGTATAAGAGAATGCAGATAAAATGCACGGGATTATCGAAGGTGTGGGCTATCCCGTATGACCTGGAATTGAAGTTACACTCGGTTAACACACGAGCTTCCGGTTCCACGATATGGCTGTTCCAAACCAGATTACAGAGAACTATTCCGCCCTGGAATCCTCACAGGGAGACAAGTATGGGGTACTGGGGAACTATTCCGCCCTAGAATCCTCACAGGGAGACAAGTATGGGGTACCGGGGAACTATTCCGCCCTGGAATCCTCACAGGGAGACAAGTATGGGGTACTGGGGAACTATTCCGCCCTAGAATCCTCACAGGGAGACAAGTATGGGGTACTGGGGAACTATTCCGCCCTGGAATCCTCACAGGGAGATAAGTATGGGGTACTGGGGAACTATTCCGCCCTAGAATCCTCACAGGGAGACAAGTATGGGGTACTGGGGAACTATTCCGCCCTGGAATCCTCACAGGGAGACAGGTATGGGGTACTGGGTAACTATTCCGCCCTAGAATCCTCACAGGGAGACAAGTATGGGGTACTGGGGAACTATTCCGCCCTAGAATCCTTACAGGGAGATAAGTATGGGGTACTGGGGAACTGTTCTGCCATAGAATACTCACGGGGAGACAAGTATGGGCTACTGGGGAACTATTCCGCCCTGGAATCCTCACAGGGAGACAAGTATGGGCTACTGTGGAACTATTCCGCCCTGGAATCCTCACAGGGAGATAAGTATGGGCTACTGGGGAACTATTCCGCCCTGGAATCCTCACAGGGAGACAAGTATGGGGTACTGGGGAACTATTCCGCCCTGGAATCCTCACAGGGAGATAAGTATGGGCTACTGGGGAACTGTTCCGCCCTAGAATCCTCAGAGGGAGACAAGTATGGGGTACTGGGGAACTGTTCTGCCATAGAATCCTCACAGGGAGACAAGTATGGGGTACTGGGGAACTATTCCGCCCTAGAATACTCACAGGGAGATAAGTATGGGGTACTGGATAACTATTCCGCCCTAGAATCCTCACAGGGAGATACGTATGGGGTACTGGGTAACTATTCCGCCCTAGAATCCTCACAGGGAGATACGTATGGGGTACTGGGGAACTATTCCGCCCTAGAATACTCACAGGGAGATACGTATGGGGTACTGGGTAACTATTCCGCCCTGGAATCCTCACAGGGAGACAAGTATGGGCTACTGGGTAACTATTCCGCCCTAGAATACTCACAGGGAGATACGTATTGGGTACTGGGGAACTATTCCGCCCTAGAATACTCACAGGGAGATAAGTATGGGGTACTGGATAACTATTCCGCCCTGGAATCCTCACAGGGAGACAAGTATGGGCTACTGGGGAACTATTCCGCCCTAGAATACTCACAGGGAGATAAGTATGGGGTACTGGGGAACTATTCCGCCCTAGAATACTCACAGGGAGATAAGTATGGGGTACTGGGTAACTATTCCGCCCTGGAATCCTCACAGGGAGACAAGTATGGGCTACTGGGTAACTATTCCGCCCTAGAATACTCACAGGGAGATACGTATTGGGTACTGGGGAACTATTCCGCCCTAGAATACTCACAGGGAGATAAGTATGGGGTACTGGATAACTATTCCGCCCTGGAATCCTTACAGGGAGACAAGTATGGGCTACTGGGGAACTATTCCGCCCTAGAATCCTCACAGGGAGATAAGTATGGGGTACTGGGGAACTATTCCGCCCTAGAATCCTCACAGGGAGACAAGTATGGGGTACTGGGGAACTATTCCGCCCTAGAATCCTCACAGGGCGATAAGTATGGGGTACTGGGTAACTATTCCGCCTTAGAATACTCACAGGGAGATAAGTATGGGGTACTGGGGAACTGTTCTGCCATAGAATACTTACAGGGAGACAAGTATGGGGTACTGGGGAACTGTTCTGCCATAGAATACTTACAGGGAGACAAGTATGGGGTACTGGGGAACTGTTCTGACATAGAATCCTCCCAGGGAGATAAGTATGGGGTACTGGGGAACTGTTCTGCCCTGGAATCCTCACAGGGAGATAAGTATGGGGTACTGGGTAACTATTCCGCCCTGGAATCATCACAGGGAGATAAGTATTGGGTACTGGGTAACTATTCCGTCCTAGAATCCTCACAGGGAGACAAGTATGGGCTACTGGGGAACTATTCCGTCCTAGAATCCTCACAGGGAGACAAGTATGGGCTACTGGGTAACTATTCCGCCCTAGAATCCTCACAGGGAGATAAGTATGGGTTACTGGGTAACTATTCCGCCATAGAATCCTCACAGGGAGACAAGTATGGGCTACTGGGTAACTATTCCGTCCTAGAATCCTCACAGGGAGATAAGTATGGGGTACTGGGTAACTATTCCGTCCTAGAATCCTCACAGGGAGACAAGTATGGGGTACTGGGTAACTATTCCGTCCTAGAATCCTCACAGGGAGATAAGTATGGGGTACTGGGGAACTACTCTGCCCTGGAATCCTCACAGGGAGATAAGTATGGGCTACTTGGGAACTGTTCTGCCACAGCATACTCACAGGGAGATAAGTATGGGGTACTGGGGAACTGTTCTGCCATAGCATACTCACAGGGAGATAAGTATGAGGTACTGGGGAACTGTTCTGCCATAGCATACTCACAGGGAGATAAGTATGGGGTACTGGGGAACTGTTCTGCCATATCATACTCACAGGGAGATAAGTATGGGCTACTGGGGAACTGTTCTGCCATAGAATACTCACAGGGAGATAAGTATGGGGTACTGGGGAACTGTTCTGCCATAGCATACTCACATGGAGATAAGTATGGGCTACTGGGGAACTGTTCTGCCATAGAATACTCACAGGGAGATAAGTATGGGCTACTTGGGAACCGTTCTGCCATAGAATACTCACAGGGAGATAAGTATGGGGTACTGGGGAACTGTTCTGCCATAGAATACTCACAGGGAGATAAGTATGGGCTACTGATTACTATTCCGCCATAGAATCCTCACAGGGAGACAAGTATGGGCTACTGGGGAACTATTCCGCCCTAGAATACTCACAGGGAGATAAGTATTGGCTACTGGTGAACTGTTCTGCCATAGAATACTCACAGGGAGATAAGTATGGGCTACTGGGGAACTGTTCTGCCATAGAATACTCACAGGGGAGAAGTATGGGGTACTGGGGAACTGTTCTGCCATAGAATCCTCACAGGGAGATAAGTATGGGCTACTGGGTAACTATTCCGCCCTAGAATCCTCACAGGGAGATAAGTATGGCTACTGGGGAACTGTTCTGCCATAGAATCCTCACAGGGAGATAAGTATGGGCTACTGGGGAACTGTTTTACCCAGGAATCCTCACAGGGAGATAGGTATGGCTACTGGGGAACTGTTCTGACACAGAATCTTCACAAGGAGGTAAGTATGGGCTAATGGGGAACTGTTCTGCCATAGAATACTCACAGGGAGATAAGTATGGCTACTGGGGAACTGTTCTGACATAGAATCTTTACAGGGAGGTAAGTATGGGCTACTGGGGAACTGTTCTGCCCTGGAATCCTCACAGGGAGATAAATATGGGCTACTGGGGAACTGTTCTGCCATAGAATCCTCACAGGGAGATAAGTATGGGATACTGGGTAACTATTCCGCCCTAGAATACTCACAGGGAGATAAGTATTGGCTACTGGGGAACTGTTCTGCCATAGAATACTCACAGGGAGATAAGTATGGGCTACTGGGGAACTGTTCTGTCAAAGAATACTCACAGGGAGATACGTATGGGGTACTGGGGAACTATTCCGCCCTAGAATCCTAACAGGGAGATAAGTATGGGCTACTGGGTAACTATTCCGCCCTAGAATCCTCACAGGGAGATACGTATGGGCTACTGGGGAACTGTTCTGCCATAGAATCCTCACAGGGAGATAAGTATGGGCTACTGGGGAACTGTTTTACCCAGGAATCCTCACAGGGAGATAAGTATGGCTACTGGGGAACTGTTCTGCCATAGAATACTCACAGGGTGATAAGTATTGGGTACTGGGGAACTGTTCTGCCATAGAATCCTCACAGGGAGATAAGTATGGGCTACTGGGAAACTGTTTTGCCCAGGAATCCTCACAGTAAGATAAATATGGCTACTGGGGAACTGTTCTGCCCTGGAATCCTCACAGGGAGATAAATATGGGCTACTGGGGAACTGTTCTGCCATAGAATACTCACAGGGGAGAAGTATGGGGTACTGGGGAACTGTTCTGCCATAGAATCCTCACAGGGAGATAAGTATGGGCTACTGGGGAACCGTTCTGCCATAGAATACTCACAGGGGAGAAGTATGGGGTACTGGGGAACTGTTCTGCCATAGAATCCTCACAGGGAGATAAGTATGGGCTACTGGGGAACCGTTCTGCCCTAGAATCCTCACAGTGAGATAAGTATGGGCTACTGGGGAACCGTTCTGCCATAGAATCCTCACAGGGGAGAAGTATGGGGTACTGGGGAACTGTTCTGCCATAGAATCCTCACAGGGAGATAAGTATGGGCTACTGGGGAACTGTTCTGCCCTAGAATCCTCACAGGGAGATAAGTATGGGCTACTGGGGAACCGTTCTGCCATGGAATCCTCACAGGGAGACACAGATTGGGTACTTTGGACCTTTCTGCCCTGGAATGCTCACAGGAAGACAAGCTCGATGCACTAGGGAACTTTTCAAGTAAAGGGTACTGGGAAACCAATCTTTCCCTGAATACCCAGGATTCTTTTATAGAGTATTAGTGTTCCCCGATCTTTCCGACTATCGACGCTTTGGGTGACGTACTCCCAACATCTAAATGTTGCCTTAAAGTACTTTAGAAACAATTTCCAGACTATGTTGTCTATGGATTGGTTTATTTTCGGAGACATAAAATCACAAAGTCATCTCTCTCGATGCCGATCACGTAAAAATACGCGAATCAATACTAACAACATTCACATCTCTGTGTATGAAGCATAGCAATCGGAACACACCACGCATTTCACAGTTGAACTGCGCCTCCGAGGAGATTGGAAGCCATGTACATTGGCGCGGACCTCAGTGAAGTCAATGTAATTTCCATTATTGCTGTGTTTTGTTGTGGCTGTCTGGCTGGATTGTTTGTGTGCTGTCTGGCTTTTTTTACTTTATATCAGCTCTGGCAACAGCAAAAGGGTAACCTTAAGATTTTGTTGTTTAAAGCGAAAATCATAAGGGACAAATTATAGATAAAATTGTATATATATTAATATTGAATTTTGCATTGGGATGACAGTTACACAATCAGGGGATGATGATAGTAAGCAATATTGGATATGGCCAATGACGCGTTAATGGCCGATAACGTTGCAGGAACTAAAAGCGTTCTTGTTTTTGTTTTTTCCTAACTGGCCGGGTAGGGAGAAGGGGTGTTACTAGGATACAAATCTGTACAAGTGGGTGGGGCACGGGTGGCCTTCTCATCTAAGGCGCCGGGATTCGCTGTGCAGAGTTGCGTCCCTTGGGCACGCCAGAAACCTATGATTGTGGGATCGATTGTGGGTCTGTAAATAACCGAGTCTGAACCAGACATTCTTGTGTTTGACATCATAAACATCGATCCACGCAATGGGGATACGATGACATGCATTAACCAAATCAGCGAGTCTGACCACCCGATCCCGTTAGTCGCCTCTTACGACAAGCAAAGTCGCTTTTAACGGCAAGCATAAGTTTCTGAAGACCTGTTCTACCCCGGATCTTCATGGGTCTGATAAAGGTACAATCATCTGGACCGAAACGTTTCATTGAAAGAAAAACGACGTTGAAATCAATGTCAACGCTGTCCTCAGTGCATAATGATGAAAAAATACAGGAACGGGATCCGGTCAAGCCATTTATTTAAACAAGTTGGGGAGGTGCTACAAATGGTTCTTGAGGAAGTTAGTGACATCTCTCACGACCCTGGTACCCACGTTAACCCGGAGCGGACCACTATGGAACCACATGCAGTGATGGAAAGCCTCCGGAAAGTTCCTGATCATTGCTTTTGAACCAACGGCTTTCAGTCGCGAAACGTACATAATACCGTCGTCCCTAATGATGTCATATCCGGCTGTCATCACGTACGCATGTGCAGTTCGTCTCAACATGTCGTCGCCTGCCATCAACGGCGCCAGGTATGGATCAAGGAGACGGTGTTTGATTTTCTCCCATAATTCTCTGTTACCGAAATCTTTCCTCAGTTCTGTATCTCTCAAGGCTAGAGTACGTATATAATATTTAGGTACTAGTTTGTCCGGATTGGCGTACTCGGCATATTTTGAGTTTTTCAGTTCCACAGAAGTGTGGTTATTGGAAAAAAACTCAGGGAGATATTTCAAATCAATTCCGGCATAATTCAGCCAGAATACAACATTCTCTGGGCTGTTAATAGACTTACTCATATACGGAGCATTTTCAATGAAGCCGGTCGTGTTGAAATTCAGGACTTGAAGCGCAGGAACAAGTAGAATCTGCACACGAATCTTTTCTTTGAGGCGGAGGGATACTGCAGCAGCCAAATTACCACCTGCGCTGTCTCCTGCCACGGCTATACGTGCAGGATTTAGTCCAAGGTCGTGGCTGTTCTTCAGGATATATTCCACCACCTTCACACAGTCGTCAAAGGCGGCGGGGTACGGGTGTTGCGGAGCCAGGCGGTAGCTGTCAACAGAATCATGACATGAAACGACAGTAAACTCTAGGCCATCCTCGATTATCCAGTGTATTTTATCATCATTCTGTTTTAACTACCCTGGGCCCATTCGCCACCTTAGACATGGAGTTATTTAAACTGGATAATCGAGGGAGGCTCTGGGTACACGGACATCGAAACTAAATTGGCTGAATTCAAGTGTGTGGGGTCAAACTTTGTTTGTCTACTAAGTCAAATATTAGCATGTTTAGTATAACTTTACTCATGCTTGTCGATACAGGCGACTAAAGGGATCGGGTAGTCACGCTCCGCGTCTTGTTTGGTGCATATCACAGTATCCCAGTTTCGTAATTCGATGCTCATGATATCACTCACTGGATTGCGGCGTTAACCAACAAACAGCGAAACCTATATTACGTCTAGACCAAGATCAAGGGAGCAGCATGTCCTAGGTTGATGTCATATGAACAATGATACAACTTAAGGATCAGAATTGGGTTTGGGTTAGTCCAAAATTTACACATGACGCACACCGAGTTTAGCACATGCCGTTCACGGAGTGTAACAAATGGTATATATACCGATTTAAATCCATAACCTACAACGTGTTTCTCTCATGGCGTGCACCTGATTAAACACCGAGTTTAAAACGTGACGTACATAGAGTTTAAAGAGGGACACAGTTTACCAGGTAACGTACACCGAGTTTAACATGTGACGTACATAGGGTTTAAAGAGGGACACAGTTTACCAGGTAACGTACACCGAGTTTAACACGTGACGTACATAGGGTTTAAAGAGGGACACAGTTTACCAGGTAACGTACACCGAGTTTAACACGTGACGTACATAGGGTTTAAAGAGGGACACAGTTTACCAGGTAACGTACACCGAGTTTAAAACGTGACGTACATAGGGTGTAAAGAGGGACACGGTTTACCAGGTAACGTTCACCGAGTTTAACACATGCTTTAAACACATTCGACCTTATTGCAAAAGAATTGTAAAAAGTTTACCGATATGACAAGAACCAAAATTGTGTAAATAGAGTATAAATGAAGTTCTATATGACTGACATCTTTGGTGAATATTACTTTTGTCTCAGAACACACTTTTGGAAAATATGTACATTCGTGTATAACTTAACTTCCGTATATCGTTATCAAATGATTCTGTCTTCTTTCTTCTGAATTTGTCGAGAAAGTGTAGTTGAATACAGGATTTACTACAAGGCACATGTTTATTCTTGTGGTAAATTCCATGCTTAACCTTTGACCTCGCCAGGTTCTCACCAAGCACCCAAACCGTTAGAGTTCAGTCACTCATGGGCAGATAAAATCTTCACTGCTGGTGGTAGCCAATGGGAGACTAATTTGAAACCCATGGGTTTTTTTCAGTTTGCACTCCGACCTTTTTAACACATGACGTACACAAAGTTTAACACATGGCCTGCACACAATTTACTGCATGACGTACACAAGGCTTAATGCATGACATACGCCGCGCTCACCACATGACGTACACACAGTGTTACACATGTCAGTGACCTGTGCTTGTCTACGAGGCAACTAAATTTATCAGTAGATCAGACTGTCGTCGATGGCGTCGGACACTGCTCATTATATCAATTACTGGTCTGTCAGATTCGATTGGCGCTTAAAACTCACTCACTCATCCAGCCAGAGCAACACTTACGTTTAACACTCACTCACCTAGTCACTGTCTCACCCGCTCAGTCACTCAATCTTGATTCAGACAGAGCAATACTTACGTTAAGCACTCACTGAATCTTTATTGTGACAGAGAAATACTTACGTTAAGCACTCACTGAATCTTTATTGTGACAGAGCAATACTTACGTTAAGCACTCACTCAATCTTGATTCAGACAGAGCAATACTTACGTTAAGCACTCACTCAATCTTGATTCAGACACAGCAATACTTACGTTAAGCACTCACTCAATCTTGATTGTGACAGAGCAATACTAACGTTAAGCACTCACTCAATCTTGATTGTGACAGAGCAATACTTACGTTAAGCACTCACTCAATCTTGATTCAGACACAGCAATACTTACGTTAAGCACTCACTCAATCTTGATTCAGACAGAGCAATACTTACGTTAAGCACTCACTCAATCTTGATTCAGACACAGCAATACTTACGTTAAGCACTCACTCAATCTTGATTCAGACACAGCAATACTTACGTTAAGCACTCACTCAATCTTGATTGTGACAGAGCAATACTTACGTTAAGCACTCACTCAATCTTGATTGTGACAGAGCAATACTTACGTTAAGCACTCACTCAATCTTGATTGTGACAGAGCAATACTTACGTTAAGCACTCACTGAATCTTGATTCAGACAGAGCAATACTTACGTTAAGCACTCACTGAATCTTGATTCAGACACAGCAATACTAACGTTAAGCACTCACTCAATCTTGATTGTGACAGAGCAATACTAACGTTAAGCACTCACTCAATCTTGATTGTGACAGAGCAATACTTACGTTAAGCACTCACCCAATCTTGATTCAGACAGAGCAATACTTACGTTAAGCACTCACTCAATCTTGAGTGAGACAGAGCAATTATTACGTTAAGCACTCACTCAATCTTGATTGTGACAGAGCAATACTTACGTTAAGCACTCACTCAATCTTGATTCAGACAGAGCAATTATTACGTTAAGCACTCACTCAATCTTGAGTGAGACAGAGCAATACTTACTCCACGGAGATGACGACATACCCAGTGTCCTTAGCCAACTTCCGGGTGAGAGGGTCGTAGGCATCTGGTATTGGAGAAACTCAACAGTGAATTCATGACAGGTGTCTAAGTCTAAACTCACAGAGTATCCAAGCAGCTCGTAAAACCCCGTACGCCCCCGAATAGAACACATCTCATAATAAAAATAACGGTTGATCTGTCCTACAAACATATCTGGTGATTACTATTAGTAATTGAGTATGGTTTTACGCCGCTTTTAGCAATATTCCAGCAATATCATGGCGGGGGATACCAGAAATTGGCTTCACACATTGTACCCATGTCGGGAATGGAACCCGGGTCTTCCACGTGACGAGCGAACGCTTTAACCACGCGGCTACCCGACCGCCACTGGTAACAGGTTCACGTGACACCATCTAGTGCTATGTCTCTATTACAGCCCTGCTTCCTTTGGATTGGGGGGGGGGGGGGGGGGGGGGCACGGGTGGCCCCGGCGTCTAATGCGCCGCGATTCGCTGTGCAGAGTTGCGTCCCTTGGGCATGCCAGAAACCTATGATTGTGGGTTCGAATCCTGGTTCGCCCCGATTATGTTTCTAGGTTTGTCAGAACCAGACCTGTGCTCGTGGGTTTCACCGAAGTGGTAAACGTCTGAGACCTGCATCACTTGGGGCTTTCCTTCCTAATTAAGCTGACACGCCGTGATATAACTGGAATACTGTACAAAGCGGCGTTAAACCCAACTCACTCACTCGCTCACTCCTATGGATTTGATTAACTTGCTGAATAGGTACCATATATATTACTGCATATATTTGCCAAATTATACCAAAGTATATCTTATCTGAAGTGTGATATTTATATGAAAATATGATATCAAGAGAATAAACACTTTTTGCCGGAACTACGTTTTGTCTGCCTCAATGACGCTTTGGTTTTTTTAACACGCTCATGAACATCAGAGTAAGTGAGTGAGTGAGTTGGGTTTTACGCCGCTTTTAACAGTATTCCAGTTATATCACGGCGTGTCAGCTTAATGTGGGAGGAAAGCCCGAAAGCACCTCACGCGGGTGATAATCCAGCCATCTTCTGGGATTAAGGTAAATCTCGTTGTTTATCGCGGGATTAACTTGGTCCATATCGGCCATGTTTCACCAAGACGTCCATTACGGTGGTAGTACGTCCAGGGGGCGCTAATGTACGACTGATGGGAGGCGTGTTAGTACCTTCACTGAGTTTACGAGCCTCTAAGTAACGATGGGCGACTGGGCCACCCGTGCCCCCCATGAACATCAGACAATACATAGTGAACAGAACATGAATCTGTCTTCTCTGAAATGTCAATTTAGTCGAGGCCCTCCACAAGTTTTCTAACTGGAAAAGACAAACACCCTCAATACATATACCCCCTCAATATAAATTATGACCCTCTCCATTCTCCACATACAGCTACCCTGCATATCTATATCTACACGAATGCCTCCGTGGTCTAGTGCTAGAGCGTCCGCCCGGGGTTCGATGTCATACCAAAAGACGTTAAAAGATGGAATTTGTTGTTACCCTGCCTGGAGCTCGTCATTAAGGGGTTAAAACAAGATCTTGACGGCTTGGAGTCAGTATACTGTGTCTGAGATGGTTAATCATGTTAAACTGCGGCATGGCATCTCAGCGCCAGCAATATAAAATCGGAATTAGAATCAGCCACGCACGCACGCACGCACGCACGCACGCACGCACGCATGCATGGACGTCGATATTGATATGGAAGTACATAAGTGCAATAATCTTGGACGTGACGTTAAACCCCATTGTACCTCACCTACATCTACACTTATATACACGTCTAATGCGCCGCGATTCGCTGTGCAGAGTTGCGTCCCTTGGGCATGCCAGAAACCTATGATTGTGGGTTCGAATCCTGGTTCGCCCCGATTATGTTTCTAGGTTTGTCAGAACCAGACCTGTGCTCGTGGGTTTCACCGAAGTGGTAAACGTCTGAGACCTGCATCACTTGGGGCTTTCCTTCCTAATTAAGCTGACACGCCGTGATATAACTGGAATACTGTTAAAAGCGGCGTTAAACCCAACTCACTCACTCGCTCACTCCTATGGATTTGATTAACTTGCTGAATAGGTACCATATATATTACTGCATATATTTGCCAAATTATACCAAAGTATATCTTATCTGAAGTGTGATATTTATATGAAAATATGATATCAAGAGAATAAACACTTTTTGCCGGAACTACGTTTTGTCTGCCTCAATGACGCTTTGGTTTTTTTAACACGCTCATGAACATCAGAGTAAGTGAGTGAGTGAGTTGGGTTTTACGCCGCTTTTAACAGTATTCCAGTTATATCACGGCGTGTCAGCTTAATGTGGGAGGAAAGCCCGAAAGCACCTCACGCGGGTGATAATCCAGCCATCTTCTGGGATTAAGGTAAATCTCGTTGTTTATCGCGGGATTAACTTGGTCCATATCGGCCATGTTTCACCAAGACGTCCATTACGGTGGTAGTACGTCCAGGGGGCGCTAATGTACGACTGATGGGAGGCGTGTTAGTACCTTCACTGAGTTTACGAGCCTCTAAGTAACGATGGGCGACTGGGCCACCCGTGCCCCCCATGAACATCAGACAATACATAGTGAACAGAACATGAATCTGTCTTCTCTGAAATGTCAATTTAGTCGAGGCCCTCCACAAGTTTTCTAACTGGAAAAGACAAACACCCTCAATACATATACCCCCTCAATATAAATTATGACCCTCTCCATTCTCCACATACAGCTACCCTGCATATCTATATCTACACGAATGCCTCCGTGGTCTAGTGCTAGAGCGTCCGCCCGGGGTTCGATGTCATACCAAAAGACGTTAAAAGATGGAATTTGTTGTTACCCTGCCTGGAGCTCGTCATTAAGGGGTTAAAACAAGATCTTGACGGCTTGGAGTCAGTATACTGTGTCTGAGATGGTTAATCATGTTAAACTGCGGCATGGCATCTCAGCGCCAGCAATATAAAATCGGAATTAGAATCAGCCACGCACGCACGCACGCACGCACGCACGCACGCACGCATGCATGGACGTCGATATTGATATGGAAGTACATAAGTGCAATAATCTTGGACGTGACGTTAAACCCCATTGTACCTCACCTACATCTACACTTATATACACGTCTAATGCGCCGCGATTCGCTGTGCAGAGTTGCGTCCCTTGGGCATGCCAGAAACCTATGATTGTGGGTTCGAATCCTGGTTCGCCCCGATTATGTTTCTAGGTTTGTCAGAACCAGACCTGTGCTCGTGGGTTTCACCGAAGTGGTAAACGTCTGAGACCTGCATCACTTGGGGCTTTCCTTCCTAATTAAGCTGACACGCCGTGATATAACTGGAATACTGTTAAAAGCGGCGTTAAACCCAACTCACTCACTCGCTCACTCCTATGGATTTGATTAACTTGCTGAATAGGTACCATATATATTACTGCATATATTTGCCAAATTATACCAAAGTATATCTTATCTGAAGTGTGATATTTATATGAAAATATGATATCAAGAGAATAAACACTTTTTGCCGGAACTACGTTTTGTCTGCCTCAATGACGCTTTGGTTTTTTTAACACGCTCATGAACATCAGAGTAAGTGAGTGAGTGAGTTGGGTTTTACGCCGCTTTTAACAGTATTCCAGTTATATCACGGCGTGTCAGCTTAATGTGGGAGGAAAGCCCGAAAGCACCTCACGCGGGTGATAATCCAGCCATCTTCTGGGATTAAGGTAAATCTCGTTGTTTATCGCGGGATTAACTTGGTCCATATCGGCCATGTTTCACCAAGACGTCCATTACGGTGGTAGTACGTCCAGGGGGCGCTAATGTACGACTGATGGGAGGCGTGTTAGTACCTTCACTGAGTTTACGAGCCTCTAAGTAACGATGGGCGACTGGGCCACCCGTGCCCCCCATGAACATCAGACAATACATAGTGAACAGAACATGAATCTGTCTTGTCTGAAATGTCAATTTAGTCGAGGCCCTCCACAAGTTTTCTAACTGGAAAAGACAAACACCCTCAATACATATACCCCCTCAATATAAATTATGACCCTCTCCATTCTCCACATACAGCTACCCTGTATATCTATATCTACACGAATGCCTCCGTGGTCTAGTGCTAGAGCGTCCGCCCGGGGTTCGATGTCATACCAAAAGACGTTAAAAGATGGAATTTGTTGTTACCCTGCCTGGAGCTCGTCATTAAGGGGTTAAAACAAGATCTTGACGGCTTGGAGTCAGTATACTGTGTCTGAGATGGTTAATCATGTTAAACTGCGGCATGGCATCTCAGCGCCAGCAATATAAAATCGGAATTAGAATCAGCCACGCACGCACGCACGCACGCACGCACGCACGCACGCACGCACGCATGCATGGACGTCGATATTGATATGGAAGTACATAAGTGCAATAATCTTGGACGTGACGTTAAACCCCATTGTACCTCACCTACATCTACACTTATATAAATACGCTCTATATATACCTAACCTCGGCATGAACCTACCAACAGAAAGGAGACTCCAGCCGCCGCCATGGAAGTAGACAACCACTGGCCTGCTGGTGGCGGCTTGATCCGCCACGGGCTCGTACACCCGCACCGGGACGCCATCATACAGGGAGTCGTGTATCTGGAAAACATTCTCCAAGATTACTTGTAAATACCAGTGTTTGATAGTGGTCAATGGCATGGCTTGTTTTTTATTTGGCTTTAAAACAGGACGGCTAGAAGGATGATCCATGTTGGCTATAAACTATATCTAGCATATGCAAAGATGACAGACGTGCCCCTTTCATCATACATACAAGGATATTGTTTATCTGAAATGTTGATTGTGTGTGAAATAAGACAAGAAGAGTTACTTCCCTTTTACTTTCCACAACGCCCTACGTTGTTCAGTCATGTAATATTTCAGTTTACCCACGAAAGGCTGCATCTACACAGTTATTCAGCGTAACCCTTGCCTGACTCGCCACTACATGGTCCAACGTCTAACTCACACACCCACGTCCAGATAACTTTCTTTTCTCATTTAAATTTGGAACAAATCACACGAGTTGGCGATGTACGGAATATTCCGAATAAACACAAAAATGTGACGTCACAATCAATGTTGGTCGTGAATACACGACGTACATCGATGTGGTTTCAATTACATTAACAACTTCCCACCTGGATATAATACAAAAGTTGGAACTAATGTCATCACCAGTTATCGTCAAATACGTGGGTCACTTCGCCATACAGTGAAGCCCTGCTAGAGCGGACACTACAGTTTACAGTACAATCGTCCGGTTTAACAAATGTCTGGATGAACTAGGCATGGGTTTAGGTTAATATCCCTTTGTATTGATGTAGACGACCATAAATATATCTTGGTGTTCTTTCAACACTTTACGGTAACTCGGGGTCGTTCACATCGATCTCTGGACTCCCACATGAGACCATGTCGTCTGCTCAACCACCGCGTTTCATGTAGGCCCTCACTGAATTGTCGAGGTCAATTGTCGAGGTCTGCACACAGCTAATCCATCAACTTGGAACCATGTCATCTCCCTCGAGTACCCCACAGTCTGTGTAACGCTCACCTTCAGTTCTGGGTCCTCCCCAAGTCCCCATGGCGACCCTGTCATCTGGGTCAAGGCAAACTGGTCTCCAAGTTTCCGGGCGCTCTCAGAAAATAGATCCCCATACCCAAATAAGGACATCAACGAAACCTGAAGGGAAGGGAGTTACATTGTTATATTCCTTGTGAAAGAGAAGATATATTACTCACATAAACAAGTGATGATATATACTGAAATAAATAAGTGATGATATATTAGTTTGTTTGTTTGTTGTTTAACGCCGCAATGTTCCAGCTATAGGACAGCGGACTGTAAATAATCGAGTCTGGACCAGACAATCAAGTGATTGACATCATGAGCATCGATCCACGCAATTGGGATTACATGCATCAACCAAGTCAGTGAGCCTGACCACGCGATCCCGTTAGTCGCCTCTTACAGCAAGTATAGTCGCCTCTTACAGCAAGTATAGTCGCCTTTTACGGCAAGTATAGTCGCCTTTTACGGAAAGCATCGGTTCCTGAAGAACTAATCCACCCCGGATCTTCATAGAATTTATAAACAAGTGATGATATGTTACTCACATAAACAAAGAAGTGATGATATATCAATGAAATAAACAAGTGATGATATACCACTCATGCAAACAAGTGTTGATATAAATGGGAAGTGAACAAGTGATGATATACAACTCTTATAAACAAACAAGTGATGATATATCAAACGATACATTACTGTTATAACTAACACAGAAACAGTGATGATATGTAATTTCAGCATATTTTTGTCTATTTTAATATCTTATTATCTAATTCACAGATTGTTTATTTGTCATGCATGTTTGTGTTTGGACCAAAGAAAGAATTATGTTTCTCGCCACCATAACTCTAACCTGCTCTCCCAAATCCGAACGTACAAACTGTGTTTAGGTTGTGTGTATGGGGAACATTATAAGGCATTTGGGGCTTGAGTGTAGGTCAGAGTTTGGACATTGCTCCAGTGTTGTTGTTTTTTGAGAATCTAAGCGAGAAAAACCCATACTAATACCGAAGACAACTGTACTTTCCTTCAGAGTACGATGTTAATGTCATGTAAATGAGCTTGTCTAAAATAAAAGAAGTAACTTTCAGGCCAAACCAAAAAGAGCAGAACCTCTATACTACTTCTTAAACTTATTTATTTATTATCCCCCGCCCCAACGAAGTTGGCGGGGGATATAGAAATGGGTTCCGTCCGTGTGTGCGTGCGTGTGTGCGTGCGTGTGTGCGTGTGTGCGTCCCGAAATCGTTTCCGGAGCATAACTCTGAAACCGTTAAATATTTCTCTACGAAACTTTGCATGTCTATCAGACTCATGCTGAACTGGTGCCTTTTGCTATTTAGGAATTTTATAAATTTTTATTTATTACGTTTCCATGGCAACAAGTTGGACTTAGGTTCTATAAGGGTGCTGTTCGTTTCCGGAGCGTAACTCAAAAACCGTTAAATAATTTCTTACAAAACTTTGCATGTTTACCAGACACATACTGAACTGGTGCCTTTTGCTATTTAGGAGTTTTATAAAAAAAAATTATGTTTTACGTTTCCATGGCAACAAGTTGGACTTAGGTTCTATAAGGGTGCTGTTCGTTTCCGGGGCGTAACTCAGAAACGGTTAAATAATTTCTTTCAAAACTTTGCATGTTTACCAGACACATACCGAACTGGTGCCATTTGATATTAAGGAGTTTTATAAATGTTTTTTTTAGAATTTCCATTGCAGCTATTTTGACATGGCCTAAGAGAAATGTTGGGTCAGTTACCTGTTTTGGGACCATAACGTGTTAAAATGGCGGGGGATATAGATGACTTCGTCGACTATACGCTTGTTAATTTAGGGGGGAGACGCGTCAAGATTACAGCACGTTCATACTGACGTGCTTGTGCGCGCGTGAATGCGTATGTGTGTGTGTGTGTGTGTGTATGTGCGTGTCTGCATGTACTAGTCCACAGTCGTTTGTTTTATCCGCTTTAATGCCAAGCGCCAGCGTGGGTAACAAGTACCTTTGAAAATAGTCTAGTGTGTGACCTCAAAAAAAATCATGAGTTAGCATTAATTATTTTAAATGACAACAAAGTAACAAATCAATTTAACTATTTAATAACAAATGAAAATTTGTATTTCAAATAAACAAAAATTCAACAATGGGTGTAAAAAGTCAATGATTAATTTTTTTTCAGGTTTTTCTCCAACAAGGGGAAGGTCCATAGGAAAGTCTAGAGCCTGTTCCAGCCACACCGCTTGTGGTTGCTGGTGCGGCTGAACAGCCGGCAAACCCCGCGAAAGAACCTGACGAGTCTTGATGCTTTCTTTGTCTTGGAGACTATTTCGTAAGATTCAAGAGAAGTCTCGCTGGAGATTACAGCGGGTGCCGTGTTGAAGACGGGAGTCTCGCAGGAGATTACTTTGGATGCCGTGTTGAAGACGGGAGTGTATCTGCCCTCGATCCAGATTGGTGTAGGGGGACGAAGAACGTCTCCACTTCCAGTCAGGTTCTGTGTGAAGGATTTCGGCCATACTAGTGGAGACGGGGTGTCCTCAGTCGGGTATACGTCCTCGACATCAGCGACATGCACGTGATCCTCTGCAACGTTGACAGAGCTGGACATCGACCCCTTTAAAAAACGAAATATCGAAAATGTGTGAACTGTTCAAAACATATATCAAATAGAGACAAAACTATGTTGGAAACAAAGTGATCTAGTCTAGATTGATTTAAGAGAAACGTTTAATAATTTTTAATTAGCAAACATTATATTTACCTTAACTGCTTGGATGGCAAGTTCGGGGTCGACATCACTTTGGAGGAGATAGTCCCATAGGTCTATTAATTCCTGCCAATCTGAAGAAAACATAAAACATGGCATTGAAAAATAAAGAAACACTAGTGCATAACAATTTGAAATTCACGTTTACTGTGTTAAAATTGAAACCTTTAACTTATAAGGAGAAGTCAACATACCGTCTTTAGTACTGTTGTCAAACATGGCCGGCGATTTTCAGGGACAATGACGTGACGTAACAATAGTTGTGACGTAGTTGTGTGTTCCAGGTGATGCTGTTGAACAGTGACATGACGCCAAGCTGCTGCTGCTGCATTTATAGATGAAGCGCGGACGTTAGAGAAGACGATTGACAACATTGTCCGTTGCTAGGCCTGTTTGGAATGTGAGGGTCAAAGTGTGAACTCTGATTGTTCCTTCTGTCAAGTCTTCGACAACGTATATTATATATATCTGATTTCATTTACTTTGAAAGCTGTTATTAAAATAATGCCTATATACTTTAGATAATAATAATCTGACCAAAACGTTCAAGAAAAATCACGAATCTCTTGCCATACAAATAGGAACGTTCTTGAGAATCTATTTGGCGAAACCTGGTCAATTTTAAAATGTCAAATGTTTCAGAAGAATATCTCCAAACTCAAAAACAACATCAAGGACCGGTTGTGTCAAATTAGTGATGTACAAAAGTTTTGACGACATCGTGCTTACATTAGCGGGACATTACCCATGGAGGCTTGATGGCACTGTTAATCTGCCATACAAACATTCCTGATATTATAGTGGTAATATGGGGTAATAATAAGCGGATGAACGCCAGGCGCGTTCCATTTAGCAATTTGACTTACTAAACTGTCGAAATCATCTCATATCCATCTACATGCATGTACATCCAACTTAACGTGCTCTTTTTTGCATGTAGATCTATCGAAGAAGAATAAGCGAACAGCAATGTGTACATTCAATCGCGATGGCCGTGACCTTAAAATTACATTTTGGCAAGGGCAGTTAATCAAACCTATTGGAGTGATTTCCCTTTAATCATTGAAGTTGTAGACTGGTATGTTTGCGTGCAATCCTATTAAAACAGCACATTTCATTTCCTAAATTCTTCATAGATCTACCGTGTAAGAAACTTGTCAGTTTGAAATCTCTTATCAAGACAATAATAAGTTGGGAACTGACATGTTTGTTTCTTTACTTGTAGCCTGTTATATACATATTGCTTCATCAAATACAAATAGAAAATTTACGTCAATTAATCCTGTTATATTTAAACATATTGAACGTAATGTGTAGTGTACAAAACGACCAATAATTAATATAAACCAACACAACGTCGTAATACTGTTTGAATCGCACATAAAATGTTCAGCTATCGCACATTGGTCCACTTTGTTGTAACAGGCGACAGCTCGGCGTTTTTTCAAACACTGTTCCGGTATTTAGGACACAGAGATTCTCTCATCAACATACAACACTGATTTGACGCCGTGTTGATGCCAAGTCACCTTACAGCGACAGAGATAGATATAAGGTGTCAAACCCCACTCCACTGAATACCATCTAATTTGTCGCCCCTGTATACCGAATACTAATTAACACAAATCTCAACAGCACATGTCAGAATCCACTCTACAAAGGCAGAATGTCGATCACAGACGAATGCTGTTAGAACGCATTCCTAGCTATAAAAGGGTACGATTTGAAGTTAAAGTTACTGAAAACAATATTTTAAAAATACAACAAATAAAGGATTTTTATTACCCACCATTACTTTTTTAAATACGATTTTATTTGTGTCCCGTGTACCACAATATATTGCTGAGTCCCGAATACCCTCTAAATAGACCTCGAATCCCGCGTACCCAATGGGGGTTGGCAGTCTCAGCGATAGCCCATTCGCGGAAATATGGCCAATTCCCTTCACGTCTAATGTTGTTTCTTGGGGGCAAACCAAATGTGACGACGACATAGACCAACCTACCTTAGCTCGCTTCGAAGTATCTGTTCAGGTACTAAAGAATAAACTGTTTCGTAATGACAGTAACGTATATATGTGCAAAGTGTCCTACGATAGATGATGACACTTTAGGGGAAGAGTGCCAGCGGTGACAATCTATCTATATATTTGTAATATATTTTTTTATGACGGTAGAAACATTTAATCACCTGCAAACAACACAATCCCGATTGCATAATCGTTTATAAACTCTTATACTAAATAGAAAAACAAATCGTCGACATTTCGAAGCTCGTGCAGACCAATCTCGTATCTGTTTGGAAACAGTTGTTTACAACAACCAGATTATCACAAGAAAACACATGAATACAGCATTTAACGGTTTATATGCGTTCGAAACATACTGGAAGAGTCTCTGTCACTATGTGATTATTTTTTAAATAACCGAGATATACTACTTTCCTCTCCATGTTGTGGTCCGAATGCATGAAAACCTCAGCAGACATTCTTTTATAACCTTTTGGAATAATGTTTCATTTTGTTTTTCAAACACTTTAAAATCAGATCTTAGTTATGACTACCGCTAATGTCGCTAGCAGTGATTTTAATGAGATTGTTTTGTTTTCATTCTTGTTTTTGCATTTTGTTTGTTTGTTTGATATTATTTGACACATTATTCACATGACATTGTATTTAACTGCAGGAGACTGCTTCAGTCTAGGTCCGAAGTCCCCCATGTGAGACGCTAGGCTAGACAATCGCAGCGTTGTATCCTCGTCCTCCTTATCAGAAAACAAACGTGCATTCGCATACTCACCATGTGTCCAAAAGTCTTTAAATATGCATCTATTATTTTAACAGTCCATCTCTCGCTGATTGCTTCGGGTACCTTGGCATCGAAATACACCTGCACAAACAATGCCCCGACTATGCCGCATATTAACACTGTTTTGAACCACGTCATGGCGGGAACAGCACGAGATACCACTGACCCGGATCACTGCTGTATCAACAACCACCCACGTGACCTGTATAGAAACTAGATAAACTTTGATCCAGAGGATCGGCGCAAAGAAATGTTGTAGTCTATCTACCTATTGATTCTAATACCTATACTGTCATAAAGCGCACATGTGTAACTCGGTCTGAACTCAGAATATAAAACAAATTGTAATTTGCGTGTGGTTCCTTCATACGAAAGCCTATTGAGGTTAAAATTGAAATATGGATAATTTTTCCGTATTCCGTAATAACGATATTGTTTCCGTAATAACGAATCCTTTTTTCCGTTATAACGAAATTATTTCCGTAATGACGAATCTTTTATTCCGTTATAACGAATTTAATTTTTGTAATAACGAAACTTTTTTTCGCAATAACAAAAGTATTTTCGTAATAACAATTTCTTCCGTAATGAGGATTCTTTTTCCGTTATAACGAATTGTTTAGCGTAAAAACGTGTTTTTTTTCGCAAAAGCGAATTCATTTTCATAATAACGAATCTTTTTTCAGCTATAACAAATTTATTTTGGTATTAACGAATCCTTTTTTCGTAATAACTAATCTTTTTTTCGCAATAGCGAATATATTTTCAAAATAACGAATCTTCTTTCCGATATAACGAATATCTTTTCGTGTCTTTTCCATATTTGAATTTTGACCCCAATAGGCTTTCGTACCTTCAGAATCAGGAATGAGGACATGGCCCATAGAATTATTTAGGTCATATAAAAGTAAAAAATAAACATGATGAAAACAAAACTAGTAATATGTTTTTTCACAAAAATTACTTCCTGAAACACTTGATATTATTTTCAAGGAACAAGGGTTATTGAGTTGATACAATGATAGTGGTATGCATGATACTGTTGATGTTGATATATCTACAGTGGTAAGGTTGTTAATATTATTTCATAATTAATCAAAGTAATAGCTACAATGTTGTGATATTATTTTATAATGAAGTAGATGGAGACATGCAGATATTGTTAAAATTGAAACCCACAACGTTGTGAGTGCGTTTGTTATTTTTAACCATAAACCATACTTCTCTATGAGAGTTACTTCCCTAATGGTAATATTTTTACTCCTGAAACCTGATACGTCAATTATTCACACTGTCCAAAAGTGTTAATGGAAAATGGAAACTTGCTCAACGTTAAAGCTAGACTGGTACCCTGCCCTTCGCCTCTTAGCGGCTACAGGCGAGGAGCGCAAGCGCCAAAGGGCAGATAAACCAGTCAAAGACAGAACGTGGCTCCTTGCTATGATAGTTGCCGAATAACATAAACATGTTTAGTGTAATAATTTACAGTTAGGAATGTTTAAAAAAAATATTTTCATATTTATCTATGCATTTCGTATGTACGCATATCATTATACACATGTGGGACAAAGGTAAAGTTTCTTTTAAAAGTTTGGTTACATCTTTCCAGCTATTGCTCAAGGCACTAATCTACATTTCAATTGGCCAACCTCGCCTTTTTCCGGAACCGTAAAGATGAGTTCTAATTTCAGCGTTTATCTGTATACGGTATAAACACACACACACGCACGCACGTACGCACGCACGCACGCACGCACGCACGCACGCACGCACGCACACACACAAAAATCGTAACCATGGGGGGTGAACCCGGGCCTTTGACGTGACGGGGGAACGCAACTAGACGACGCCGAAGTCAGCAATATTCCGTTGGGATTCCGGGTAAGAATATAAGTCCCCAGCAAATTTTTTTTGTGGTAAGAGGCGACTAAATGGATCGGATGATGAGGCTCGGTGACTTGGTTGATTACATGTCATCGCATCCCAGTTGTGTGGTCCCATGCTCAGTAGTAAGTGGTGGTCGGATTCCACAGTAGTCACTGAGTCCCAGGTGGTGTAGTGGATAGTGCGTATGCCCAGCGAGCGGAAGATCGGTGGTTCGATCCCCTGGCCACCTCCGCGGTGTAGCGGATAGAGCTTCTTCCTATAGAGCGGAAGGCAGGTGGTTCGATCCCCACAAGATGTTAAATTATGGTACTTGTTGTTACCCTACCTGGCGGAATAGAACAAAGACTGGCCGGCTCGGAATCAGTACACTCAGTCCAGGGAGCAATGGTCCCAGAAACGCCAGCCATCAGCGCCCCCAAGATCTCTGCTTGTGTTGGTAAACCTGTCACCACCAGCCCTTGTCTGTCGTAGCATCATGGACACCTCATACGATTTAGGGACCATGGTTGCATCATCAGCTTGTTGATAATTCTGCCACTTTGCTTTTAGAACGACTTATCTGGATTTTACATTGAGTGGGGATGAGGATGGTGGAGGACAGAGTTTAGAGGGGGGATGAGGAGGGGGGTGGGGTGGGGTGGGGTTGGTAAGGGCAGTAAATGAGATTTGTCCCCATGGTTTAAATAAAAAAGAACTGAATCGAGTTGCAGGTGGTCATCCGCCGACTGATCTCCCTGCTTCATCTCACTGTACACGTGATCGCGGTGTATTGTTTCATGAAATAAATGAGTAATTTGCAAGGATTCCATGACAATAATTAATATGCTAGACATAGAATTTTAAAATTATGATATATAAATGGTCCATGGCAAAAATGGATAACTGTTAGTGTGAAAACAATTTGTGTTGTCTTATGATTTCATATCCTGATATTATTACATTTTTAGGTGCAATAGGGATCTAGACTGGCGTTTATGCTTCACTGGATGGTCAATGGTAGGATAATCTAGAGCTTTAATGAATTCAATAGTAACGTTATCTTCACCTGTACTCTTGATGTTTCTTTAGTTATTTGTTACATTCAATAATCTCTTTAGATGAGATGGGATAATTTAGTTTAATTTAATTTAATTGTAATTGTATGGATCGATGCTGATGATGTCAATCACTGGATTGTCTGGTCCAGACACCATTATATACATACCGCCGTCATATAGCTAGAAATATTGCTGAGTGTGGCGTTAAACAACAAACCAACCAACCTGGTGGGTCACATGTATGGGTTTGATAGGGACGAAGCAAGTGTCACTGTTAATATGCCATTTCCTCTTTTCGGAAGGCAATGAAAATACAATAGTGCTTTTTTCTTCATTACTTTTGTCGATTCTTAGAGAATTCGGTTTTAGTGGTAATAGATATTCATTGTTGCGAGGTTAAAGTGGCAATTGACAATGATGAGCCAGTTTAGTGGTTTAAAGTTGAAATTGGAAACACTAGGGTAGATACGTGTGTGTTGAGATACGAGTACATCGTCCGCTAAACTTTGGCCATCATAGGTGTCCCAGCCTCCCATGCGCTGTCTGAGTGGCGTGTCTGTTTGATAACACCAGACTAACATTTAGTCCCTGAAATTAAGTCATCTTATATTTTAAAATGAATCTACTCAAAACAAACAGAAAAAGTGTTGTTATATCATCTTAATGCAATATAATAAAATGGAGCCCAGAGACTCTTCAGTAGTCTAGGATGCCTGCTAATATAGACTTGCGCGGGCTGTATTGGCTACATTGGTTTCAGGGTATGTAGGACAAGGACTAGTCCTGCACCATGACTGTGGAATTCATATTTTTTAGGTATTTTGTTTTTACTAAAAACTAGGCAAATCTAAACAGTAGAAGAGGAAAGGTTCTTTTGAAGAAAAAAACATGTTTAAAGACATGTTTTCATTGTCTAAGTATAAGTCTAGACAAGGACACGCCCTCTTCCTAAACCCAGTATGTTGTGTAATTGGGAGCTCCCACAGCTGGCATTCATTAAGTTTAGACAAGGGAGAGAGTGTTCCAGAGGTGTCAGTACGGGTCACCCACATCAGCTGTAAACTGTAAACACTGTGGACAGCACAAGATTAACTGATAAAAACAAGTCAGAATCTTGCTTGTGGATCCTACAGATTTGGACAGAGCGGAGACAAATTATGCTTGGCTCGGTTGGATTCAGTTCTTAATATATACTCTTGGGCCTGGGAGTCAGGTTTGTCTGACACTATAAAATCAGTCTTGACAAGCAGTCCCACATCATCCAAGTGAATACACGTTGCTTTATAAGTGACACTATCCCTCAAGAACGGTACGAACTCTATCGGCCCCCTACAGTGGTCAGAATGTGCTCGGATCTGAGCAGAGATTGTGGAGTTTCAAGTTACAAAATGACATTGTCCTTGTGCTGGTCCTTATCTAGACTAACATCTAGTATATAAAAATACAAGAAAACATTGATGCAGAGCATCAAAGTTCCCCCGCCATAAGATAAGATAAGATAAGATAATATTTATTGCAGAAACGTTCCATTACGGGACAGATGCAATTTTAAAAGACAAGACATTATGATTTATATATACATATATACAGACAAACATAATCTACATTTCTGTAGACACATACAAAAACAAAATAATCAATATTACATATTTTATACATAAAATGTCGACGGTTGATTATGAGGGGGTATTTATTGTTTGAAATTATAGATGTGGAAACAAATGCAGTTGATATTGACTGCTTCATTATTTGACAGGATGTATTGAAATAATTTGTCTTCATGACTATGGACATTTACATTTACATTTTGTCTGGATAGTTTTTCAAATAGTATATTTCTTTCTCGAGTGTGTTTAATACAATGAAGTAAGTAATGTTTTTCGTTATCAATGATTGAACATGTAGAGCATAGCCTCTGATGTAGTGGGGTTGGTGGCTTTGTGTGTCTTCCAAGTTCAATATTTAATTTATGGTTACTTAATCTTAGTTTAGAAAAGTGAACTCGATATTTTTTTACTTTACAGTTGCTGAGATAGGGTTCTAATTTTATTTCATTTTTAACTAGCCTATATGTCCTAAGTTTGTTTCCTGTGCCTCTTGTTGTATTTACATCTTGAAGAGATTCCTTGAAGAGGGAGTTGAATTTAGATTTGATTGTCTCTTTGAATTTTGGTGAAAGCAAAGCTGAAATACTCAAATTGTGTTTTCCTAAGAATATATTTAGCTGGTAAACCCATCCTAATCGTTTTTTCACCAAATATGT